TCACTGCATTTTGTGTACATAGGACACGGCAAAGCCGTTCCCGAAATTTTTCTCTATTATTATATTAACAGCATTTCCTCACAATGATTTTGTTTCTGCTCCACGCAGCCTCCATTAGCAAGTTAACTAATCAGTCCCGCAGAGATGCTGCTGCAGTTTTCTACAGCAGCCTTAATTGCAAAGCAATGGAGTGCACTAAAACGATTGCTGAAGCAGCCTCAATTGCAAAGCAATGGAGTGCACCACAATGTTCACTGTTCTTTAATAGATTAGGTGAAAAATGCAATCTTTTCGCATTTAGCAAAATTAGAACACGTTTTTCGCAGTAAAGTGAACTGCTTTGGCTGTTTCAACTCGTTCTTTTTTCGCTCTATTCTTTGTTTACTTGTGGTACACAAATGTCAACGCTCAGGAAGGCGCAATCTTGTATTCTATCATTCTCGGAGACGAACGCACCTAATATCGAGAAAGACTGACAGTGGCCACACGCGACGAACATGTGCGCAAACATGCTCGGCTTGCGGTACATGTTCATAGTTTATGGGGTGGTTCACGAGCAGCTCGCAAAAAATTAAACAATTTTAATTTTCAGTGAGCATGCTCGTCGTTTGAGGCGTAGCTTGCGAACATTGCATTCGAAACAAAAACAACCTCATTTTGGCTTCGTTTCTTTATACATTCCAGATGATCCCATTTCGCAGCCGGAATAAACAGAATGCGTTTGAAATATATATAACATATCATATATAACATATCATCAGGAACGTTCTAAAGAATAAGTAAGCAAAAAAGTTTATTCCAAACCAAAGAACGTAAATGTACATTTACGTTCTTTGTCCGTCGCAATTCTGGGTAGACTCAACATTTGCCACACTATGGCAACGCAGTCGCGCAGCATGTTGCTGGAGTAACGCAGAGTTGCTCCGGATGACGTTAATATACAACTGTCAAAATTGTCGCGGTTTGTTGCTTGTTTTTGTTAGACTTGTTTTTTCACTGAATTTTCTTCTTGACTTTGTCCGGGCAGCGTTAGCGCTGCGCGCAGTTTTCAAAAATTATTTGTTTTCCATGCGCGTAATTTGTTTAATTAAATTATCACAGTAAAGTGAACAAAAATTAAAGATAAATAGCAAATTGTGCGCGTAATTTACCCAAAGCTTGATCGCTTTACGACTGGTTTTTCTTAGCAAAAGTTATTACATACATGCAATCAAATTGGTGAACCAACGCCATTCTGGAATCGGAAGTTATTAGTGATTGTGTTGATCAATTTCATTTATGG